CTTTTTGGTGCTTTTTTTTCTCGTTTTTATTTTTTTGTGAATTCCAAACTTGAGCTTGGGGGGTTAGGGAATTCGGTTTGTAGGGTATTTGGGGGATTTAATGGGTTTTGTGTGTGTGGGTTTGGAATGTAGGGTGAGGAGAAAAAGAAATGGCATTTTTTTTTGAGGTTTTGGGATCGGAGAGGATGGTGTGGATAAGAAGAATGTGGAGTTAATTTGGATGTTTTGATTGAGATTGGAGTGGTTTGAAGCTTGGATGATTGTCAATGGAGGTTGAGGGTTTGAGTTTGGGACATTAGGGAAGCAAATGGGTGTTTTGTGGGCTGATTTAGGACCAAAACGGACTGAAATCTCGATTACCCGGCCGGGTTTTAGAAATACCCGAATGGGTATGTTGTTTTTTGCTTGGCAGAACGTTTTTAGGCTGTTTTGGCCAAAAACCCGGCCGGGTTTTCGTGATACCCGGTCGGGTATTAGGCTATTTTATTGATTTTTTCAGTTTTTTGCCCGGTGGTTGTGTTGCCCGGGTATTCCCTTTTTGTGCTGGTACCCGACCGGGTGTGGGATATACCCGGGCGGGTTTTTCCTCCCAGATTTTTTTTTGAAAGGTGTAAAGATAAAATAAAACAAGTAAACGTACCTTTCTTGGGTTGCCTCCCAAGAAGCGCCTTATTTAACGTCGTGGCACGACGCCATCATTGTGTTCAGTCATTCAAACTTGGATCATGATAGTTTATCTTTTTCACACTTTCACTCCTAGGACGTTCATAGGAGTGCTCAACTTCCCGACTCTTCAATTTGGGAATCTTTCCAGGATCAAATACCCAGATTGTCATTGATTCATGCGGTGGGAGGAAAGGGAAGAAATTATCGTTTACTATGGTCAATGAAAAGTTTTTCGATCCTTCAATTTTGAAGAGGATTTCAGAAATGTCATTGTCCTTTCCAAATTTACGAGTTTCCCTCAAAATTTGTAGAATTGATGGGGGTACCTCAAAAGATGACAAGGATAGATATTTAACCTTGAAGCTCAGATTATCCTCTTCTTTGACCAGTTGGAGCTTCGTGTCTTTTTCTTCCTCTACTTCTTCTGGATTCTGGATCTCCTTTTGCATTTCCTCTTCATTTGTCAATGTGATTGCAAAATTTTGCTGTTTAGGATCACATTCTAGTTGAGAAGGAGGTTTTTCTGAATCCCTTGCTTCAAGCCTACTCACGACTCTGACTATTTGACTCATTTGAGTTTCCAAGTTCAAAATGCTAGACTTGGTCTCATTTTGGAATTGCACCATGTTTTGTTGCATGGCGGTCACACTGTTAGTAAGAGCCCGAACCATGTCCTCCGTGGACATATTAGAGTTGGGGAATGGATCATACCTCATGTGAGGTACATCATCAATTTGTGCAAGGTATTCTTCTTGGAGCTTTGGGCAGAAGTCCGTAAGATGCCTCTGAGACATGCAAATGCTGCATGTCTTGGCATCTTGAGCTTTTGAGTTAAAGATAGATTCCTTTATTAGAGAAGTCAAGAAGGAAATTTGACTCTCTAAGGATGAAGTGTTGGTATCCATATACTCATAACTCATGTAAACTCAGAAAATAGAAGAGCAAGAATTTTATATATATATATATATATATATATATATATATTTTGTTTTTGATTTTTATGAGATAAAATAAAAAGAAAAGTAATTGCCTTTCCCCGGCAACGGCGCCAAATTTGACGAGCACTTTGTCACGGTGCGTCAAAATAAATTCAATACTAAACACTTATACGTAGTATAGCGTAGTAGAGTTCGTATCCACAGGGAAAGGAAAATTTCTCTTTTTATGATACTTAGTAAATAAAAGGGGGGATTTGGATTGAGTGACTTAATTTAATTAAAAACTAAGATGAACAACCTATATGTGTTTAATTCAAGAATAAAAGGGACTTGGCTTTGCTACTTTCCACTTGTTGATATATTTTAGTCGATCCTTGTTATATCTATAACTTATCCCCTCTCGAATACTCAATCGAGGAGTATCTCCAATTCATCGAGGGTAGTTATTAACAACGACCGTTCATTAATAACCCTTACTATTAATCAAATATAGAACAACGCCTTATACCGATATAATAGTAGCATTCAATCTTTTTAACTCCTTGATGAAATCAATTGAGATTGATAACCTTAACACAACGGTTTCGGTTTAACCAACAAAATTGATCTCTCTTAAGTCTATTAACCACGACCGTGCATTAATAAACCGAAGTTACTTACTTGTGAAGCCACCAACGATTAACCATCGGTTCATTGATCGTTTCTAGTAGTAATTAATGTCGGAATGTTAACTAATCGTCACTTAGCAACCCTCCAACATTAATATAGAATGAGATTAAGGGAAGAATTAATAATCAAGAGAAGAAGTTAAGAAAATAACTCACAACTTTAATAATCAACAAGCTTCAAGAGCAAAACCAAGAATGGAAGTTTAGCTCCTCATTTGGAGGCTAAACATAGCTAGAAAAATATAAAGAAATGCTATTCTAAACTGAACTAAAGAGATTGGAAGAAGGGATGATGAAATGTGAAGGAAAATGGGGTTATTTATAGGTGTTTTCAACACCTAATGCCGGATACCCGGCCAGGTATTTTGACATACCCGACCGGGTATTTACCAAATCAAATATTTTCCCATGTTTTTGTGTCTTCTGCACGTTCTTTGGTCCGAAATCACAGAATACCCGACCGGGTATATGGAATACCTGACCGGGTATTTGCTAGTTTTGCAGCAGTTTCCTTTGTCACTTCATACCCGGCCGGGTAAAGTCCATACCCGACCGGGTTTTGCACAAAACTCAGGTTTCTTCATCCTTTTTGCTTCCAAATCTATCCTAAACTTATAGCAAAACTAACTACAACTTACAACAAACAATAAAATGCTAGAAATACGATTACAATCAAATGCAAACTAACAACTATAAACTTGCACAAAACTAGTAAATAAACATTACAAACAATAATAAAAATGTATACTTAGGCACTAACAACTAGTGCCCATCAAGTATATTCCCGTATACCCCACGGGTATTATAATCGCCAATATAAAAAATCACAGACCCATTCCAGAGTACACGAAAAGACTAAGTCCACAACTATACCGACCCCGACCCCAACCGACCAGGGTCAGGAACAAGCACCGGACAACAAAATAACTAAGGACCAAGGACCTGCCCGACCCCAACCTCGAGGTCGGGGAAACACCAGGCTCAGGAATCAACCAAACTCGACAAGATATGAGCCCGACCTTGAGTCACCCAAGCTCAGTATCGGGTCTGACCCCAGAAGTCAAACACATGGTCAATAGGAGGCAAGCGCCAGGCAGATGACTACCTCAAAAGCGGGAACAAAGGGGTGAATCCTCTCAGTACGAGCCCGAGTTCCCAGATATCGGCCTCGGTGACCCCCAAGGTCTGAGTGAAGCATCATGGACTTAGACAAAATCCACAAGGACCATCACCACAAGGAAGTACTACCACACCATCACCCGCCACGGATAAGATATACTAGAATGCGCACACGTAGCTACACGGGTGTTCTGGTAGCAGTCTGTTAGGGATTATTCCAATGAGCCAGATGTCCAAGATTCTCTCTCCTATCAACTTTACACGTGGCTGCTCCCCATGGAATTAGGCTGTTAGTTTGTTAGAGTAGCTTTACACGTGTCTCTCTCCTATTAGACTAGCATCTTTTTTCTTGGGCACCAAGTATTGCCATTTATCTCTTAGTATAAATATCACCTTCCAACTTGTGGAAAGGGATGCTTGATACTTAATCAATCGCACTCTCAATACTTTGACGGCCATATTTGCCGGGTCCAGTATCTGCACTTTCCGATCAGTTCACTCTCCTCTATTATTCTCATTCTCGGTGGATTCCGGCCACCCTTGGTCAGATAATCCATCAAAAAGCAAGGTTTTAATTAAGAACAAATTTGATGGTTGAATATATTGACGATGCTGGATTGCAGTGAAAATTGAATTGACCGAGTGTATACGTATAAAGTGGTGGGGAATTTGATTTATTGACGAAGTTGGGCTGCGGTTAGCCTTATAGTTCATTAAATAGAAATTGCCTTGAATAGAAGTGAAAATGTTTTGAAATTACTAAACAGAATCTTTATATTTATATTCACTAAATAAGAATAACTTCTGCCAAATTTGAAAAAAACTTGGCAAAATTGCAATATTTAAAACCTACTATTGCCATATTTGGCATAAATTGCTTCTAGTTAGGGAATAAAAAAAAACATTTCTATTTTGAAATTTCAATTTTTTTCTCTCTTCATTCTTTGTTAAAGAAGTAACTTTTAAATAGCATCTACATTTACTTTTTGTATACACATAACATTATTATATTCCTAATTAGTAAGGATAACATAAATGCTCGTCTCTAAATCAATGTCCTAGTTTGACTTTATACATATTAAGGAAATGAATTTATTAAAGAGTAATTTTACTGTAGAGTAAACTATTTGGACACTGTGTGACATTGTTTTGAAACTCTTTTAAACGGTTTGACACTGTTTGATATAGAATGTTTACCAAATAAGAAAATGGGAGGAAGTAAAACTTCAATTTAGGGACATCGCAAAAAGAAAACGAAACTTTAATTTAGGAATGAAGGTTGTACATTTTTTACTCATATTTTGTTTTTTTTAAATTTTCCCTTTGTTGTCCAATTATACTACCTTCTTCTTAAATAAATGCGACACTTTGACTTTTACACTATTCACATGTTCTACTTTGACTACGTTTTATTTATTAATGTAATAATATTATTTTATGAAAAAAATATTGTTAAACTTGTCTCATTGTAAATTTTCATAATCTAATTTTTTTAATTTTTTTACTAATACAAAATCATTTATATTAATGGTCAAAGTTGTGTCTCGGCAAGTGTGAAATGTTGACCGTTGCATTTATTTAAGAACGGAAGAAATATCAATTTTGAGCAGCCAATTATTTCAATACACATGGAAATCTTAATAAATATTCAATCATGACATTTTTAGTGAAAGATGAAAGAACGATTTAAAGATTGTGTTCATGCTCCTCGGGATACTTTAATGACATATATTGACATCCTACTTTCCCCATTAATATTCGCGCTTTAAGCAACATTATCAATGGCTAAATTTGTACTGCTCTTCTTTATCGTCTCCGCCGTTCCCGTTGCTATCATCCTCCACCTTGAGACCGCCGGCAAGCCGTCCACCCACACTATCCAGTACCGCAGCACTGGCTGGCTCCGCGAGTGCGCTAAATGGGACGAAGAGGGTCGTCGCTTCATAGTCACCTTTTTCGGCGGCGGCGTCGGCCAGATTGCCGTTCCCCTCGACGATGGCGACTCATCGGTCCTCCTTGAAACTCCGGTCGTCAAGGACGCTGACTTGTACGGGAACGCCTCGCTTGGCCTCGCTATTGACCGGCACCGGAACCGCCTTCTCGTGGCCGTCTCCGATGTATTCGGCAACCGGTACAGTGCTCTGGCGGCGTATGATTTATCGACGTGGAACCGACTTTTTGTCACTCAACTCGGCGGCCCAGGTACGAGGATCTTTAATAGTAATTGCTGTTCTAATCGCAATTTCGGGCTGTGGTCCACTAATCATTAGTTAATTTATGAACTCGCCCTCCATTATAAATGCCAGAATTCGAGAAATATGTGTAAAACATGTTCAAAATTCAAATTTCAAATATCATCTCCAATGCACTGGTATGAGAGATATAGACACAAAAAATTAAATTTACGACAATTGTCTCTTCTTCTATCCACGGTTTTGTGTGTTTTTGGTAAGTTTTTCTCAACAATGTCAACCACAATGTTTACATCAAGACATTCTGTTTGACATTGTAGAGAAAAACTTACAAAAAACATATAAGACCCGTTCAGATAAGAAGAGAGATATTCTATTCGCTATTATTTAATTGGCTATCTCTCGTGTCACGTATGCATCATTCACGTTTTTGCATTGGAGATGCTCTTAGGCCTATGACTATTGTATCCCTGAGTCCTGAGACTTTTGATATTCACTTTTTATTTTTTCAACTTTCATCTTTGGACAATTGTGCGAAAGAAGTTTTTTGTACTCGTTTTTGAAATTTTCCATACATAGTGAGTTAGTGACCCTTTCCGATGTATCCAAAAAACTAATAGTATTATAATAGTGACATTTTTAGTCACACTTGTTGTGTCAAAATCATAGTTTGAAGGCCTAAATGCCTACTCCCCCCGTCCCGCTAGAAGGTTCCCGTTGACGGTTTACACTCTGATTATTTTTAGTAAATAAAATTAACATATTCAGAAACTACATTAAAACTGCTACAAAGACTGATAAAAAAATGTAAATTTGATAAAAAATTGATTTATAAAGTAAAAGATTAAAAATGATTTATGTTGACCATGTGAATAGTGGACGTTTGGTAGTATTTGATAAGACTCACGAGATTAAATATGAGAAACTTAGAACCCGTTTGGTAACACTAAAATTGGTTGAATCTGCTGAAATTTATGCAGTTCTGGATGAAGTGCCTGTACTGACTGATTCTGCTAATTTATGAAAATATTATACAAAGTATTTAAAATATTTTTTATTAATAAAATAAAGAAAATTTTATTTGAAAAAATAGCTAAAATGATTCTCTACGGTGACTTCAATCAATAGAACTAGAAAAGTAACTTCAACATTACTTATTTTGATTATTGCACTATTCAGCGCGCGTGAAATCAAAAGTTATGTGTTTGATTAAAAAGTTGACAAATAAACATGATAAGCCGAAAAATACATTGTTGAGAAAGCTTGAGGAGAAAATGAGAAACACATTGGTAAAAATACATTCCGAATTGTAGTACATTTGTTGTCTCGATTGGAACTCACTATTGCAATTAAGCAAAAAATGCACTTTCTCTAAATCGATTATAAATATAAATTGATTAAAGTCACATTGCAAAAAAACATATATAGCTATTTGCATAGGAAATAATTTAACTTTTTATATTGATTAAGAGCCCGTTTGGTAATACCAAAATCGGCTGAATTGGCTGATTCTACTGAAATTTATGAAATTTTGGCTGAAGTGGCTGAATTAGTTGATTCAGCTGATTTATTAAAAAATTATTATATTTAAAATATATTTAATTAATAAAATAAAGAAAAAATTATTTGTGAAACAGCTAAAATGATCCTCTACAGTAACTTCATCCAATGCAGTAAGAGAAGTAATTTCAACCTTACTTTTTTTATCATTACGCAATTTAGCGCACGAAATCAAAATTACGTGTTTAGTGAAAAAATTGGCTGATAAACCTGACAGGCCAAAAAACTGGGCTACCAAACGGGCACTAACCCACCTATGGGTGCTTGAGTAATAGTAGCACTGTATTCCTTGCAAATTTAAAGAATTCTTTATAGAATTTGTGATTCACCTAATTCAGTAATTCTTATTCATTTTCATTTATCTTGCAATTATGGCCCCTTAATAGTAACAGTAAAGTTAGAATGGTGATGACAAACTAGTTGTAGCGAATTAGGGATGATTTCAGTTACTAAAACCTTGATGTAAAACACAATTCTGAATATATATTTGTTGATTGACTAGCTACGTCAATGCGGTTGAAATATGTAAAATACTTTTTAATTATATACATACAAAAATATTCCTTTCGGGAATTTAGTGACACAAATATTTACGGAGTTTTTTTGAATATATTCTTTTTGAAGTTTAGATTATGTTCATCAAAGTTCTGCTTAAAATTTAATTGAAAAGCCAGTTAAATAAATTACTGAAAAATAATGTGTTCTTTTATATTTTCTAGCGCAATGTTTTTCAATAATGTATTTAATAGACTTTCCGATTGAATTTTAATCCGAAATTTTGTAAATAATCTACAAGAACATTCTCACAAAATGTAATAAAAAAGTTCCACCCGGAAGTACCTCAAATGAATGTGGCCCGTCAACGTTCTGATCGGGAAATTCCTGACCAAAAAATTCAACCAAGCAATGTCTAACACATGCATTTCAGTCGTGAGCGAATTTTTATGCTACCAAATAGCTTAGTTCATATATAGTACGGGTATGATGTATTAACACTAGTTACAATAATGGTGTTGGCCGCATGTAGAGAGCGAGAAATCTTTTGCGGATGATGTGGCAGTTGATGGGGAGGGAAATGCATATGTAACAGATACCAGAGGTAATAAGATATGGAAGGTCGGGGCTGATGGAGCGCTGAAGCACATAATAAGGAGCCCCTTATTCACTCCCAAAGAATGGTACAAGAACTTGGTAGGGCTCAACGGTATTGTGCATCATCCAAACGGATACTTGCTAGTTGTTCACACCTTTTCCGGGAATTTGTACAAGGTTAAGCCATTAGCAAAAGGCGACGAAGTGACGATTGTTCCCGTTGGCGAGGGCGGGTCATTGATCTTCGGTGATGGCATGGAACTTGTATCGTCTGACAAGCTCGTTGTCGCCGGGAACCCGACAAGGTTGGTTGAGAGCAGTGATGATTGGGGGAGTGCGAGGGTTGTAGGCAAATTCAGCGGTCCTATTCACCGTTTGTCTACTGCTGCTACGGTGAAGGATGGGAGAGTGTACATTAGTCATATGATTGGCATGGGATATCCTCACACAAAGCATATGCTAATTGAAGCTGAGTTTTCTGCTTGAAATTGTACCTTTTGCATACGTTTTTAAAACAATGATTAACCACGTTGGATCATGTTTGAATCATTGATTAATTAATACTTTAGTACCCATTTTTCCCATTGATTCATTCATTTTCATTTACCGAGTGCCGCAAAGGCTCCCACCTACTGTGAGGTAAGGGAGGTCGGATGTACACAGTCTTATCCATGTACTAAAGCACAGAGAGACTGTTTTCCGGATGACCCATAGTGAAAATCCCGTCCATATTTTTATTTGGCTCCATTGCAAATCATGGAAATTAGTACCCATTTTTCCCGATTCATATTAATTTTAAAGTTCTTGCATCATATCTTCCGTGTATAATAAAATTCTTATCACAGGAATTGCATGTTTTATAATCAGTAATTGTGTGATAAGTATATATATATATATATGACATTTTTTAAACATATGATCTGTTATCATAAAAAAACATATCGTCTGTTAATTGTTCCTTTCAAACAAAAAATGGTCTGTTAATTGTTCAACACATAAGTTTTGAAATTTTTGATTTCATAATTTTATTATAATTGTTATATTTGTAATCCTAATTATAGTTATATTCTATATGACGTTTTAATACCTAGATACGAAGGTAAAGCAAGGTTAGAAAGTAATTTCACTTAATGGACTCTAATTGATTTATTCAATTAGATCATTAAATTTGGTCTGGCCCGTTTCAGTCTCTTCCGCTGCGGTTTGGGCCTGATATTTCTTAGTCCAGTCCGGTTCTCCTTATTTGACCCAGCTCGTTTGATTCACATATAAAATGTCTCCTTCCACTCTTCTGGACACATCTTTGCGTCATTCCAAACCCTGAACACAGAGAGGCGATTCCGAGAGCTTGTGCGGTGAATGAGAGAGAAACCTCTGCTTTTTCTTTCAAGATCAGAAATCACTTGAGGCCAGAATAAGCCGAGAAAGGCAAGAAGTAGGTCGTGTGGTGAAGCTTAAATCCAAAGCAGTTGGTCCGAATCCAAGATTCTGAGAACTCGTGTGTTTTGAGAGTTTCATCCGGTTATTTCTGTTCCTTTTCTTGTTTTATTCGTGTTCTTGTTTGTGGCTGATTCTTGTGTGTTAGATCTGTTTAATTTCGTACCTTGCTTTGCAACCATCTGTGTATTCAACTGTTCTGAGCTAGTGGATTCTTGGGACCGGGTTTCCCCTATTGAAACCCCGCAGATTAGGATTTTTAATCCGAATTGTGTTAACATATCGTGTGTTCATTTCTTTAATTTCTCTTTGATTGAACTCGAAGTTTGAATCCGGTATTTTGACTGTGACTATAGTTTTAGTTTGAGAACAATTTTGGTTTCACAGCCTTTACATTAGATTCTTGAAACCCTAATCTAAATTCCTGATTTGATTGAGTTTTTCAAGAAACCCTAATTTTTGGTTTACTGTTTTTCGATCTTGAAACCCTAGCTCAAAACTGTTCGAATCTTGATTGCACTTAGTTCTTGTCTGATTGCCTTCTGTTGCTATTACTTACCTGTGTCTTGAGCTATACCTGTTAACATGTCTGACACTGGTATCAAGATTCGTATCTTTGATGGTACCAGTGACTTTCCTATGTGGCAGCTTGACATGAAAGCTCTCCTGATGAAGCAGAAATGCTTCGGAGTTGTCTTGAATGAATCTATTCCCAATGCGTCTAATGTTGTGTTAACTGAATTGAAAAATGCTGCATATTCTGAATTGATAATCCATCTGTCTGATAATGTGGCTAGAAAATTTTCAACTATTACTGATCCTAGAGTGTTATGGCAAACCCTTAAGTCTACCTACATGAAAAAGTCCATGTCAAGAAAGATTTCTCTGCTTTGTAGGTTGTTTACCTTTAAAATGAATGTTTCTGTGTCATTGACTGGTAACTTGGACAACTTTTTAAAGATGACACAAGAAATAGAAAAGATAGATGAAAAGATAAAAGACACTCATCAAGCTGTTATTCTGTTAAATTATTTGCCACCCCAGTTTGATAACTTTAAGGATGTCATCCAGTATTCTAATGAAGATCTCACCCCTGGAAAGATCATAGATGTTATACTCGAGAAGAATGAATCCCTTAAGGTTTTTAAGTCTAAGTCTGATCCCTCAAATATTGAGAAAACTGAGCCTAAAAATGAAGCCCTAGTGATCAAAGGGAAACCTAAGAATAAAAAGAATAGTTCAATGAAGAAGAATAAAACTGATAAAGATAATTCTGAAAAGAAAACCTTCAAATGTCACTATTGTGGCATAGAAGGACATTTTGCAAGAGACTGTAGGAAAAAGAAAGAGGATAAATAATGTGATAATAAAAGTACTCCTAACCATGTTCCTAATGTTGAATCTGCAAATGTTTTTCAGTCAAATTTCAACAACTATATTACACTTTTTCAACAAAGTTAATCAACTACCTTGCTGAGTCAGATTCATATACTTCCTTCGTTCTTAAATAAGTGTAACAGTCAACATTTCACGCTTGCGGAGTTATGGCGGCAACATTTGCAGAGTCACTGTTGCAGAAGTTGCCCTTGATGCCCGAGTGTGCGTATAAGAACATGGCAGCGAAAAGATGTGAATTTGCAAAGAGGCTCTGGAGTTTGAGGAAACGATCAACTTAGACAAGTTTTAATGGGTGTGAATGTTTAGTGTATGATGGGTTTGGATGTACAATCATTGATGTAACCATACTATATACATTTTGTGGTGGTTAGTTTTGGCCTTCATGGGTTTGGTTGTGAAATGTAGGATGTTGTACAATGTTACAATAACAATGTTGTATACTGTCTTAGAATGTACTCCCAAATATTACCAATGTTGTACATTGGTATGCCTTTTTGTTTGTGTGAGAAACACTAACTGTCATTGGTGTTCATATAAACGGAGAAAGCTTTTTTGTCTGTGATTTGTATCCACTTTGTCTATGCTATGTACACAATAATATATGTCACAAACACATTGCGTGTCTGTGAAGAACAAAAACTCTGTCTGTGATTGTGGCGTATTTGTTTGTGCTATGTACACTATAATATCCGTCACAAACACATTGTGTGTCTGTGAAGAACAAACAATCTATCTGTGATGTGTGCCGTATTTGTCTGTGCTTTGTATCTGCTAGGACTTAGTTTGAATAAAAGACTTTTTGAGAAAAAACTTTTTAAAAAATTGTTAAAGTACACTATAATATCTGTCACAAACACATTGCATGTTTGTGAAGCAGAAAAACTCTGTCTGTGAGGTGTGGCGTATTTGTCTGTGCTATGTACACTATAATATCTGTCACAAACACATTGTGTGTCTGTGAAGAACAAACACTATGTCTGTGATGTGTGTCATATATGTCTGTGCTATGTATCTGCTTTTGTATAGTTTGAATAAGACTTTTTGAGGAAAAAAAACATTTTAAAAACTGCCATGCACATTTACATCAAACTAAGATTTAAATCTAAACCACTACTTTTTGTCTATTTAGTCAAAGCATAATCCATGTCTTCATTTATATTATATGTGCGTGATTAAAGCATTACTTGTGTTTTCATAATGTCATAAAAGAGAATCAAACATAAGAAATAGTATTAACTTTCATAATTCCCATCCATGGAGGAACTAAAGTAATACATGGATATTTATAATTCAAATATATTCATTCAACATAATAACAAGCTATGATTTTTTTCTTCCGATTTGTTGCGGCCAAGAGCTCCTTTCCTAGCATTTTTTTTCACTCCCAAAATGTACATTTTTCTCCTGCTGAGTGTTTTCTTTCTTACTGCCGCAAGCAAGAAGTGCCTTGCAGCCAAGAGCTCTGTCTTCCCATCCAGCAAGGCTGCTAACTGCACTTTTTGCACACAACCCTCCTGCTTATTGCACACACATCATTTTAAGCATGAAAAAAGAACAATGTGTTACGAAGATTGAAACTTAAGCATTAACTCATCAAAGCATTGACCACACTCAGTATCTTGATCCATGCTTCTAAAAAACCTATCAAGAACATTTAAATTCATTGACAACCCAATTTAAAGTGTAAAAATTAGTAAATTCCATCAAGCATAAAAACATATTAGCAAAAAGGGAGAATCAACTCACAAAATCGTGAATATGAATAAAGAAGATCATTGAAGCATTTCAACAAACACCTTATGAGCATAATAATGAAATAGAATAGTTGAACACAAATTCAACTGAAATGTGAATCTTTACAATGTAAAACAAACTTAGAACACAATAAAGATTATAATGAAGTGAATCTTTATTTACGCATTTCGCATGAACCATAAGTAAATTTACGCATTTCAAATATAAGTACAATTACGCTGAGGCAGTGGTAGATTTACGCACAGACATAAGTACATATACCCACAGACACAAGTATATTTACACACAGACATTTCAAATATAAGTTTATTTACACACAGACATAAGTAAATTTTATAACATTTTGAACACAAACAAGATTATATACACTTCACAAACACACAGACAATATTATACACTACACAAATATAGAGAATTGTCTGTGAAGAACAAAGATATATTTAAGTTGAAAGCCAATGAAATCAACAACACAAACTCATACCAAGCTTAGGGACTTCATCCATGGCCGCCGCTGGTTCTCCATCAAGTTCAGCCGCCGCCGCCGGTTCTCCGTCAAGTTCAGCCGCCGCTGCCGGTTCTCCGTCAAGTTCAGCCGCCGCCGCCGGTTCTCCGTCAAGTTCAGCCACCGCCGCTGGTTCTCTGTCAAGTTCTGCCGCCGCAAAGCCACCAAAAATCATCCACCGTAGTGTCAATGATCGTTTCGTTCACAAAGCCACCAAAATCCATTGATTTTGAAGGGATGAAGAAAGAAACAAAGATGTGGGTTGTATGCCTTGAGCTGCTGCGGGAAGAAGAAAGAAAGAAGGAAGCAGCAAGTGAGGAGAGAGTCTGGGGGGTGAGTGGGCTGTTTCGCACGTGAGAGAGGGAAGGGGGTAAAAAAATGGTAATTTATTAGGCTATTTATAGTGTGTATGTGTTTGTATGAAAAGTGTGTACCCAAAGCAAAATTGAATTTTTTCAGTCAAATTTCATCAACTATATTACACTTTTTCAACAAAGTTAATCAACTACCTTGCTGAGTCAGATTCATATACTTCTTTCATTCTTAAATAAGTGCAACAGTCAACATTTCATACTTGCCGAGACACAACTTTGACCATTAATATATATAATTCTCTATTAGTAAAAAATTTTAAAAAAATAATTTATGAATTTACAATGACACAAATTTAATATATACTTTTCAAAAAAATATATTAATACATCAATAAATAAAATGTAGTCAAAGTAGAACATGTGAATAGTGAAAAATTTCACATGTTGCACTTATTTAAGAATGAAGGTAGTACAGTTTTATTAAGAAACTACGCGCCTTTGTGACCGAAATATCTTAAATTGTATAAATATAAATTGTAAAATGATAAAGTTCATGGGTATGTTTGGCAAAGGGCTTATCAGCCAACTTTTAGCTTGTTTGACCAAATTTAGTTGTTTCAATAGTCAAAGCAATCAATATTTATGTTTGACTAAAAAAAACCTATGTCGGAGCAAACTTACGGCGCTTCATGGCGGCTCCCACGGCAGAGCCTCCCCCTCCTCCGTCCAGTGCTTGGTCTGGGAAGTCATTTGTTGAGGTTGCTGCTAGCAAACCTTCTGGATGTCTTTCGACCAAAACTCCGTCGCGTTTCAAAGGTCTACCGGCAATCACGTTCACGGATTCTGATATTAACATTCTTGCTGAACGTCATCGTAGATCTTTAATTGGATACTTTTATAAAGGTCACCCAAATTTGGAGTTTATTCGTAAAGCTTTGGAAATCATTGGATTTAAAGGATCTTTTGAGTTAGGCATTTTGGAAGAAAGCATATCTTGATTCGTTTTGAGTCTGAAGAGGATTATTTTCGCTGTTGGGATCGACAAAGTTGGAATTTAAAAGGATATGTTATGCGGGTGACCAAATGGACCCCGAAATTCCGTCCTAATGTGCACTACTAGATTTTCTCTTATTTGCTGCCCCTTATTTGCTGCGATCCAAAATAAAACCGCAACAATTAATGAGTTTTTTTAAGTATTGACTGCAGTCATAAAGAAACCGCGCCAAATGAGTACTTTTTTTATAGTTATTGCTACTGTCATGAAAGAATCCCACCAAATAAAAATGCAGTTTGAATTTTTTCTCTCCTTTTGCTTCGGTTAAATTGGAACCGCAGCGATACGTCCAGAGAAAAAAATTATTTGATGCGGACATTTTTAAAACCGCAGCAGTTGTGGTGCTTAGTACTTGGGGTTTTCTCTAATATGTGAAGGAATTTCGTGAACATGCAGTCATGCAGATCGACTCCTCCAAGTCCGCCCAATTCATCGCTGCCCCGCTCCGAGCGTGCAGCACACCGTCATCGCACCCCTCCCAGCAGCACACCGTCATCGCACCCCTCCCAGCAGCACACCGTCGTCGCCCCTCCCAGCAGCACACCGCCTTCGCCTGCCTCCACACAACAATCTGCCATCACTGCTTCTCTGAATATAGGGAACAAGTTGGCCCGACGCGGAGTAACCAGCAACCACTGCTCCTTCCCGCCGTTCTTTCCTGATCGCCTTCTCCTTATTGATCCCTCTTCACTTATTACAGGTATATTCCTCAATAAAATAACGGCAAATGTTCCTGCGTTTATCCCACTAATTTTGTTGGTTTGTCTTCCGCCGTAAAAAAACAGGTATATTCCTCAATCTTTTATAATTTCAAGCAGTTTGCTTTAATCTGCGTTTATCAAGAAATTTCAAGCAGTTTGCTTCTCCGTATTGACTCCTCTTCACATATTACAGGTCTGTTTATCATTTCATGAAAATTTAATATTTTTTGATATTAGAAATAAGTATTGCTGTTTATGTTTGACTGTGTATAAAGTTGATTTTTATGTTTTTTTGAAGTTATTATGTGTGAAGTTATATTATGTTAATTCCTACACGAAGTGCATTAGTATCCAGGATAAATAAATAATAAATTCATAGAAATGCAAAGTGCAATTCAGATTTGAGGAGGACCGGGGAACATATGAATCAAATTCATTTCATTGCTTTCTCTCTGTCTCTTACATATGCAGATTTATACATTTTGCCAGAACTGGTTCTGTTATGTACCAACTCTTATATTAGCTGATTAAGAACATTTGATATTCTGTTTTACAAGATGGTTTGCTAATTCATAGCGGGACAAAGAGGTGTTTTTTCCTGTTTTTCGAGAAACTCCAGTGACATCTTTGTGTGTGGGAGGATGTGGAAAAAAACCGGTGAGAATTTTACCTCCCTTTGTCCAAGTTGTTTACAGCTTCTTTTTCGAAGGTTGATTTTATCTTGTATATATAAAAAGGTCATCCCATCTAATATTGCATCTAATTCAGATCTACAACACTCGACAGGCTAGGACAGCCTGGGCTGGGCAGAGCTTTGTTAGATATATGGATTGTTGTTCGCTGGTTGGAAAGGCTTCCCGGTATGCTCATGTAATCTTAAACCAAGAGTCAGTCCTATTTGACGCCCCTTCTGTGTGCTGACTAACTTTCCATCCGGTTTTGATGGAATCATATACTCTGTATTGCTTTTCTTGACAGAGGAGTTTATTATTTCTTAGCCATAAATATACACAGATCCAAAATTACATAATTGTTGGTTAAGTGTGGCTATGTGTAATGATATTCCAATTGAAATTAGATTTCCTTTTTAAAGAAATTAAAAGCATGAGAATAGATTCAACATTTTGTGAATCATGTAATTCCTTGCATAACTATGAATAAGTCATTAATTTACTGGTAATGAATGCTAACGCTTCTCTGTTATCCACATTGTGATTAATTGTAGGATTAATAAGGACATTGCTATGCGTGCCAAATTGCCAATGAACTCAGTTTGTAGACGTAAAGTTACTTGATCAGCTAGGTCGTGATCTACTCAAGAGTCAAGCTTATTAAGATTAGTATGGAGTAGTACCACATAATACTACTGTTTAGTTTTAAAAGAAACAAAATTTGTGATGTATTCATTATGAATTTTGGTGTTGTATTACTTAATTCTTGTAATAATGATTTTGATTTTGTGCCAATGAAATATTGGACTGTAGAAATGAATTGTTTCTTATTCTTTAAATAAGATATACGGAGTATTTTGATAAAAAATCAACTTTATAAACTTGGGTGGCATTGTAAAACAAAACAAAATATTATGCAAATAGTATAGAGTTTTTGCTGCGGTCATTTATCTATTTGCTGCGGTTCAGAACCGCAACAATAAGTCAAAATTCATTTTTTAAAAATAGCTATTTGCTGCGGTTCGGAACCGCAGCAAATACGTTTTCCTACTATTTTCTGCCCTGCCTATTGCGGCGATTCAAAATCGCAACAAATAGCTAAAAATAACCGCAACAAATAGCTATTTTTCTAGTAGTAGTGGAATCCCCGGTGGTTCCGGTTTGGATTTCGTTGGAAGGATTACCTCTTCATTTACACGATAGGAGAGCTTTGTTTGATATCGCATGTTTAATTGGAAAGCCATTGCGGATTGATGCTGCCACGACTAACTTATCCAGGCCATTTGTGGCCCGGGTTTGCATTGAGCTAGATGTCACCCAGGAGTTGCCCCAAAAGTTATGGCTTAATTGTGGCAAGAGTGGATTTGCGCAGCCTGTTTTATATGAATACATGTCTGATTACTGCTCTTTCTGTTTGCATTTGGGACATTCCCAGGCCAAGTGCCCCAAACAGAATCCAAGCATCTCTTTGGCAGACCAGGCTACTAAAGAGATTTGGGTGGAAAAAAGTAAGGAGGTCAAGAGTGATCAGGCTAAACATACTAAGTTCACACCACAGGAGAAAAGAAAGACAATTATTACACATGCTTCGCAGAAACCTAAAGAAATCCAAAAGAGTTGCAGGTTTCACCTCTTTAACTGCACAACTTTAATGGTTGTTAATCAACCATCTACTTCTAAATTTCATAACATGCAGAGTGAGGATGAGACAGACATTGAGTAAGTCTTTCATGAGGAGCCCCCGATCTCAGGATTGCAGGTTTCACCTCAAAAACATGAGCTCGATAGGGATAGTCTGATGCAGCTTCTCCAAAATCAAGTATCTAGAATATCAAATAATAAACTCATTGGTAGTATTTCTGATGACTCTCAACTCAAAGAGCTACAAAATAAGCAACAATTTGACCCTATACTTGCTTCCAAGCACTATTCTTCTGATACTGAATCTGGTAAGCAAATCAATATGGAGGAGTGGAATGAGTGGTGGGAAGAGATAGCTGCCAAAGTGGATACTATGGCCAAAAGGATGGACATGGAGTTAGATGATATGGTGCAGACTGGCAAAAAGGGAATCAGCCTCATGACTTGAGGGTCCAGCTGGTGCATCTGTGGATCATGATGGTCAGACAGATCAAGAGGGCTTCACAGAGGTGATACATAAGAGGAATAGAAAAAAAGACACACAAGTAACACCTAGGGTTACTAGAAATGCTGCTAAGAAGAAGGAAGGTTCAGTTATGTCAGTTCATGTACAATTGGACAGTAAGCTGGCTTCTCAAAATATCCCCAATTCACCCAAATGAATTGTTTATGCTGGAATGTTAGGGGGTGGAATCTGCCAGAGCTAAGAAATGGCAGATTCAGATTCTTGTAGTTATTGAACCTATTTTGGATTTTTCTAAAGTTGAGTCATTTACATTGGACTTTGGTTTTTCCAAAGTTTTATCTTCAAGTTGCAATAAAATTTGGGTATTCTGGGACCATTTGTAACACCGTCCCCAAGTGTATTTTACTTTTTAGTAAATAATGTAATAAACCATGAAGGATGATTTATAAATTTACGTTGTTGTAAATTTTTATTATTTCTTTTGCATGAATAGTAAATTGCACGCGGGGCCACGTCGGGAATGGGGGCCATCCGATATTTTCGAGATGTCATATTATATTAATCTTGGCCTAGATAATATGTATATGGTGGTGGATATCCTAATTGGGCCGTGACAAAGGCATAGGGTTGACCGGTTGGTCAAACGAGGCCCAATTATCAGTATCGACAATTTATCTGATAACAGCCCGAAAAGGAATTTCGGAGACTTCTAAATTAAAGTTGAGGAATGTATATTCATTATAAGGTCCAATAGTGATCGAGAACACGTGTTATATTTTATTTGACCCGATAAAATAAAATATACTACCTTCGTCCCAAATTAATTTGCAAATTTGACTTTTTTTTGTCAAACAGTTTTGTTTTGTTCATTTAATTAGTATGCCAATTTTTAATTATATTCTAATTTGGAGTTTTCAAATTTGAAGAGATTTTGATGTAGTTTATGATTATTTAAATTTTAATTATTAAAATTGAATTAGTTATGCACAGGGAAGATTGACTTCTATTATTGATTGACCAAAAAATGTTGACTTTGCAAAACAAATTGGGACGAAGGAAGTAATTAAAACAGTCTGAGAAATACAACTTTTGGGACCGATTGTACACATCGGGACACAAAGGGATGACCACCCACATATGTGGGGGCCACCGCACGAATTTAGTCTTGCAAAGAGG